TAATGGGCGCTCTAGCATGGACCTACCGCGCGCAATCGCGCTTCCAAGAAGCCGAAGAACTTGACCGCAAAGCGCTACTCCGCCGACTTGAGATCCTAGGACCTGACCATCCAAAAACCCAACTTTCAATGACGAAACTTGCCGAAAACTGTGGCCTCCTAGGTGATTGGGAACGAGCGGGAGAGCTGCAGCGAGAGGTTGTGGAGGCGAAGCAACGAACGTTTGGTGCGCATCATGGTAGCACCAAGCGCGCGAGAAGATATTTAAAACTTGTGGAAGCTGCCTTAAAGGATGAGGGGAATGAGCTAGCTGCGGTTCAGTGGTTGACGAAAGGTGGTGGGAGAGAATCGACCAGGATGTCTAGAGGTAATCACAGTGAAAGCGCTAAAACGAGCAGTCACGGCTACCACGACTCGGTAGTGCATAGCAGAAATGGCTCCACCGTGTCCGTGCCTTGCTTTTCAAGTATGACACCTGTCACGTCACCAGGCGCTCAGAGACATTCTCACGCCCCCAGCCCATCCGACCCCGACCTCCAGGATGCCCGTAACGAAGTCACCCGCACGTTGCAAGCAATCAAAGAAGCTCAAGCGCAGTTAGCGCGCCTGAACCGAGATCTGGCGCAACATGTCCAAGAATTCGCTCGTGGCAACAGGACGGTAAGATCCGCAGAATTTGAGATCCTACGATATGATCACAGAGACCAGGTATACGCCAACATGAGAAAAGCTCAAACGGAGCATGAAGGGGCGAAGGAGCGTCTTATGAGACTTGGAATGGCCGGATACAATGAAAGTGAAGGTGCAAAACGTGATGGGCATTCAGCCTCTTCATTAACGCCGCGAACAGCAATGCGACCTAACAGCGCGGACAGCCTAGATACCCTTGTTGAGCCTCAACCTTCGCTACAGGCATCATGATGGGTCGAGCCGATGCCCTACGAGATCAGTCATCGAGCAAATACTGAGAAATATCACAATAGAGCAAACACATCTTGCCAGCTACTACTTGATGAGGCAGAATAAAGCCCAGAATTCCAGCTCTATGAGGAACACAGAAATCCAATGGGGGCATGGTGTGGAATTGGAATTCTTCCGAGGTTTGCGCTAGTGCAGCGTTGCCTCACCTACAGCCCTATGTCTTAGCAAAAACCACTCGAAATGTGTAACGAACCCAGTTGTATATAAGCCCCAAAACAGTCTTTCGGTTGTGGATCCTAATGTCCCAGATACCATGGCCGATGACGAGCCAAATTCCTAATGCCCGCGAACGAGCGAAGAAACTCCATACCAGGCATACCCTTGGGGGCGTCTTAGATGTGCTCACGACGAACGTCAGCTCGGAGTATCGTGACAGTCGTCTCCACGTAGCCATGAACCATCACCACTATCGATGCAAATCCAGTCCTCGATATCGGAACCAAAAAACCCCCATAAAACACTGACAGCATAGCGATAATAGGACGAGATGGAGCTGGTATTTTATTCTGTCAGGAAGGAACTAAATTAACAACCCGGTCGTTTGACCCGAAAGAAAACACCATTCGGGAGCAGGCAGATAAAGGACAAAGGACCTCCCCGCCCTTGATCTCGAGCCTACGCACTCGATCTTAAGTACGCGGATGCAAAGATGCAAGGGTTCAGGAAATCTCGATCCACTGCTCCATTCCGCTCTCGATACTGTACATGCACCTCTGATATCCCGGACTCATACGTTCCCACTCAGTGAACCTCATGTCTCTACTCCGTGCATGCGTGACTCGGGCTGTGCGGTATCTTTTATTTTCCGACGCAGCCCAAGACCACGAGACGAGGGTGCGCGGCGAGTAAGAGCCCAGCTGTCCATGAGGTCCTCCCGTGCGTCCTTGCACCCATCCGTGTGGGAACGCCGAAGAAATGGCAACGGACCGGCCTCGGATATAAAAACGGTGGGGAGACCGAGACGTCCGTGTCATTGTCAGCGTTTTGCCATCTCACGAAACGTTCGTCGGGAGAACCGTATCCCGCCCTCTCCTTCTCCTTTTTCTTCGCGGCTGTGGATCGATCCGCTTAGGTCCAGGCTTTCTCGACTGGCATCCAAGCCGTAGATGGGCGCTCGTGAAAAATCCAACCGACACTTCACCCCGATACCCTAGTGCCCCCCCGCCCTCCAATGCTCCTTTCTCCCCACGCGTCCATGATCCAGAAACGTGGCCCCGGAGAATTTGCCGCTCCAAGTCCTCTCACCTTTGGAACCTCCCTTTCTAGCATCTCCAACCGAGCCATCGCGAAGCCAACACCCCTTGCCTCCATGACCGTAATCCCCACCTTCCCCACGAGCGCTTCGGTAGCTGTACCCTTACCTCGTCAGCATCCTTAACGATCCCACCGCCAACAAGAACCGACCTTGTGGCAGAAATTCCCAGACGGGTCTGTGACATATCGTCCACCGAATTGGACGGAGACGGTATCGGGAGGGCGATCCCATGAGAGTCAATCGGGTGTCAACAATGTCCGGGACGCGGGCTTTGGTTTCGGTTTCCGGCGAGCTTACGGATATCGCGTTCAGGAAGGGAATAGGTTCGAGGTGTCAACGAGGCAAGTCTCGAAGCGGGCGCTCGCGTCTGTCTGGCGGGCTGTAATTAGATGTTTGTGTCAGCCGGTGGGACGTCGGTGGGATGGTGAAGTTTCCCTTTCTTTCGGAACTCTCGCTGCCGTATTGATCTTGTGGAGAGGAGGATGGACCGGCTTCACGCGGCACGCGTCCGGCACGGTACATGAGTACGCCGGGCATTTTTCTGGTTGGAATGGTGTGGTGCTGAGTGGAAGGTGTGATGCTGAGTGGAGGGGTGATTGTCTGGAGCGAGGGAAAGAACCGGAGCAAGCTGATGTTGCACGAGTGTACATGAATCAGGGCAGATGATCAAGATTTTTGGAAGCGAGGTTTGGTTTTGAAAATACAGGAAATACGATAAAAGTTGAATGCACGGAAGAGGGAGGACAGCTTCAATGGAAGCGTGCTTATCCGCATCGATCCTTCAGATGCACTCTTCATCGTTCACACACAGCCAAAGATCCCTCAACCAACCAACCTCACAGCCTCCCGCGCGCAACCCCCCAACGAACCCGGTAACCCACCGCCTCCATGCCCGTAATCATGCACCACCTTCAAATCCATCAATGTCCTCAGCTACTACCCTCACTCCTCACAGGCCTCAACCCTACTCCACTCCACGCCTCACAAAACACACTGCCTCAACGCCCTTACCGTTCCGTGAGACTGGGATTGAGAGTCCAGACAGAGCGCGCTGCATGACACGCCGTCCCAGCTTGAGATCCTGATTCCGAGTCCCAGTTATCAGGTTGATAGGTACTATACGCACCGGCCACAGGTCGTGGAATGATACAAGCATCGGCATCCTCCGTCCCGCTTGCGCCTGCAAAGCGCCATCGACGTATCATATCAGGATGCTGCCTCACCAGCACCACCCATGCTCCGGCTGCGAAAGGATACATCCTTGGCGAACCACGGCCGCCTAGCTTCAGGGGACCGGGACCCGTGCGGTTGACGAGCAAGCCCGGGGATTGGCCAGCGTGGTGGAGGGAGGCGGCGTGCGAAATGGTTGGATACGATGGCACGGGTGGAAGCGACGCCGGCCTTTGGACACTGTGGGATCGGGTAGGGGAGGTGGATGGTGGGGTCTGATCTTATGATGACGGTGGTGAAGCCGAGTGAGGTGGCGACGTCGGAAGGAAGCGAGGAGTTTGTGACGTTGTACTGCGGAGACTTCAATTGACATGTGCGTATATACTACGTTGACGGTGGTTGCGGGTGAGAGGTCGATGCCCACGTTTGACAAAGCATCCACGAACCTCGGCGCTTTTGAACCAGGTTTGAGGAATTGGTCCACAGTCCGATGGTCGTGACGGGTGTACATTGTAGCATCTAGAAACACGACGTTGATATGAGTCGCTTCCTCTCAAATTGGGAAAATCCTTCAGGGCACCTACTCTGGAATGCAACCCCAGCTTCAGACACATCCTCCGCTAGCCTGCTGAACTCGTGCCAAGTATCTGTATCATACTTCTGAGCTTGTTCACACTTCTCCGAGAATCGATAATCTTTTCAGCACTCAAAAGCTATCCCAAACGATTATTTGGAGATATCACTTATGGAAGAATAGCAACCCCAGCCCAAGGGGACGCATACTCGGCGTCAGAGCCCCCAGCCATATGCTTTGCTACGACTGTGATGGAGTATTTTGGATTCTTGGAAAGTTCGAGAGCGGTGCTCAGGCCCGAGACGCCAGCTCTAGGCGCGCATTGTGAATGTTGAGGACAGCACAACTGGAATTGACGGTGGAACAAACCCAAGAACCACGATGTTGTGTTTGCCCATTGTATGTAGCTGACTTCCAAGCACGCATTCCTTCCCACGGAGCGATTCTTGAAAGCACAAGTGCGGAAGAGTAAAGTGGATTTACTTCCGAAAGGCAATCGTATGTCGTGGAGTAGATGGAGAAACTCCTTTGGATGAAAAACCGTCGTATATCATTTTCCGAGTGCACCTTCTTGCTTTTTTCCGGCAACGAGGAACAAGACAATGTTATGGCGTCTCTTCTATGTATGCCTTCTTCATGATTGGGTTGACGAGCCCACGCTGGCGTCAAGACCTTTTGTCCGACGGTTAGCAAGGGGATGCAGATCCAACGGAATACAAAGACTCCGCCGCTCGGGATGATCGCGCCACGTGCTGTTGTTCTCGATTTGGACAGCGAGTCACCATCCGCGATAGTATGCTCCATGGCCGCTGTCCATACTCAATCTTGGGAATGTCAAACGCAAAAGACGGCGTCCCGGACAGGTCCAGGAGCAGGTTGGGCGAACACGCTAAATCCCATAAGGCTGTGAGCCTTTTCCCCCCTACCACCAGCTACATTAGATTCGAAACCAAAAATGGTAGCCTGAAAAGCGCAGTCAAAGGCTTCGGGAAAAGTTGCAAAGGTATGTACTCTGTTGATGACAAGACAGTACAACTATCTCTTTATGTAGAAGGGTAGAAAACGATAGACGTTAGACAAGTGAACGTCTACCCTGAAAGCTGATCGGACCTCTCATTATCAGACACATTCTGAGATCCAATCTCCAACGCATCAGAGAAATCCTTTCCAAGCGCACTTATCGATTACCATATACCACGCATAGCCCTATTGCCCTTTGCAGCCCTCTCCGCATCCTGACCTTGATTGCTTGTCCTGGTACCTATGCTTCCCTGTCTGCGGCTGCTTCTTTTTGGGAGTGAGCTTTGGAACAGCATCCTTGTGCACTGCGATATTGCCCCACACAACAAAGTCAGGGTGACCTTCGATCCTGCGAACCTTGCTCTCATTAGTCCAGCTGTGGAAATTCGCCTTCTGCTCAGTCACGGCTTCTTCGTAGGACTTGCCGCTGAAGATCTGTGTTGCGAACCGAAAAGTACTGGCTGGTAGGCGGAAGTAGCAAGGCGTAAGGCGCAACCTTAGGGAAACGATGTCGTGGGGTGTTAGAGGTGCTGAAAGAGGCTCTGCTTCTGGCAGATCCTCAGGTTCCATCGCCGAAAAGCCGTATCGTTCTAGCCTTCTTGCTCTTCTTACATTCACGGACTTCTGTGCTTCTCTCATCTGCCTCATCACGTTCTCTCGCTCGAAGATGACCAAGGCTCTAGTAGCAGCAGCAATACATCGCGCATGTCGTGGCTTTGACCATTCCTCATACTCAAGCCAGAGTCCGGCCCAGAATGTATCTTTGTTACGCTTGGCTAGACTTTGGACATGGGCTTTCTGCTGTGTCTGATCGAGCGTTTTGAACCACAGACGCCATTCTGCGGACTTTGAGGCGGCGATAGATGCCTCCCACCTTTGTTGTATAGCGCCCGGAAGACAGATTTCTTCCAAGGCGCGGAAGGGTAACAGAGGATATGATTCTTTCATGCCAGGCTCGAGTTGGCTGTTAGTCGTGGCAACCTCGAAGTCAGGTACAAAGACGGCTTGCTCGAAATTTCTCGATTGCTGGTCACTTGAAATGGCATATCTAGCACGATCAAGAACGAAGGGTGCTGCTCTCTCATTAGCATACCATTGAAAGTATACCATCTCTGCTGTGCAGGGCTCTTACGCTCTTGCATCCACATGAACGCACCTACCGTCATCCCCAACGCCCATTCCGAGTCCAGTCGCCACGGCCTTCCTCGTAGGTCCAACCGCGGGTCCATCTTCGTAAAAGACTTAGCTGATGATCTTTGTTGAGATTCGCTGGACGTTACTTGGCATATGCAGTGTGAAGGCCTGATGTTGGCGTAAGCGTGGTTAAATTTCTTGTATGATTGTGGTGTCGTCTGATGGCCTAGTGGGCGAGTAGACAGTCTGTGCAAGCCTAGCTATGTAAAGGTTCGGGCGCGTTAGTCGACGTAGAAAGCAATAATCATTGGGTGTTCTCTCAGTAAGAGAGCGGGCAACGAGGATTCACCCCAAATATCATTTGAAAGAGAGAAACACCAATCAAAACAGTGACGGTTGCAACGAAAAATTTCATCAAAAGGCTGTGGTGGGTAAGTCTGTAATTAGTAAAACGTTGGGGAGGACGAAATGATGTCGAGATTGCGAGGAGTAGATATCCATCGTGGCTGTGAGTGGGCCGACGAGGAAAGCGCGACCTTTCGGAAACTTACCCTCGAGCGCGCACCCTTCATATCGACGTTCAAACAGTAAGAGGTACTGGAAGGGTCATCCAGTGCTCCCCGAATAGGAGTAAGAACTATGATTAAAAATGAGGGTAAGCCTCGGAAAGGGTATTTAAAAGCAGCACCTTTGACGACTATTAGAGAATGAGCGTTTCTATCATTCGAAGACTTCCGTCTAAAAGATTGGAACAGTCCAGCATCTCGACTTATTGCTCAGAAGGCAACACCAACACTGGCTACTTGGGGCGGTAATGGCGTCTTCTCGACATCGAAGCTGGCTCCTCGACCACCACCAAGAGTCCAGGACGAAGACATCGAGCTTTGTTTCGTATGAGGTCGGGGACTGGGAAAGGACCATGGGCTGTTGAGTTCTGTTGGGCCAGAAATATCGTACATGCTCAATGACGTAGATGAGCGTTCAACTGTTGGAAGCGCTGGCAGGGCCTTCAGAATCCACTGAGAGAAACGATCCCGAAAGGATGAATGGGTATTGCCTGAAATGGTTGTAGTCACTATTGGTCTCTCATTCATTGCGGTGTCTGGGCGAAATGGGTCGAGGAGAGGCGTCGGGGGATTCAACAACGTCGAGCTTCCGGAAGATGATCTCGCCTTGGACATAACAGGCACTTCTGCATGGGCATCGCGCTGGATCGACTCTTGCAATTGAAGCGGTTGTTCATCATAGGGCGAACTGTCGGTGTTGTCGTCCCGATCGGAGATAGGAGACAGAGGCATCTGCTCACCGGGTCTTGGCGATAAAGGCGATATTTCCTCTTGGATGGTAGCGCAATTGGGTAAGCGTGCCTCTAATGACTGTCGTTCTTCCAGGTGCGTCCGCAGCCGCAGACTCTGCTCACTAGCTCTTCGATAAATTGTGTAGGAGGGCTCAGAGTTGGATCGAATGGCAGGAGGTGGAGGCTGGGGTGAATGGGCGTCCCTGGCATCCAAAGCATCTAAGAAGTCCTGTGCACTTCGAGTAGTCATGAAGCTCGGTCTGCGCTCAATAGACTTTGACCGTAGGTGATCGATGGATCGCGACTTTGTGGGACCACCGACCCAGTTCAATGTAAATTGGCTGTCCATGCTGAATCGTGATGCATCTAGAGAGGACGTCCTTGAAGGTACTGGCTTCCTCGGGATTGAGAAAGAGCTTGAAGGGTGTCGGAGTAGCATGGAGTCTGATCGTGACTTGACGAGTGCTTGCACAGGTCGTTCCACTGTCACATCCTCCACCTTGTCAGCTCCATCTTCCCAGAATATTGGCAGGTCGGGAAGCTCATTGCCGGGCAGGTAAATGCTCAGTTGTAGGGGTCGAAATGCTGGGCTTCGCCTTAGGGGAGATACACGTCCGCTCTGGACCCTCCTGAACTCGGACGGGGCGCCGATCGTTGGCCGACGGGGTGCGCTGCGTCTACTTGTGAAGCTCATCCTGCTCAAGGATCTTGAGGTCCGAAGACGGCTTTCGGATAGCCATGCGGACTGACGTAGAGAGCTTAAGGGGCGGTGGGATGTAGATTGCTGGTAGGAGGATCGAGGTGTCGCATGTGCTTGGTCGAGATTGTATTCCGGTGGATGATGTGGCGTAGGTTGTTCGTGGCAGACTTCAGTGTGATTACCAACAGCTAGTGGTGTCAGGTTAGCGAGGTGTTGCTATATACGATTGATCAATGGTGGAAGACCCACTTATGCCGGGAGCCGCTGGCTCAGGCTTGTCCCCGCCGTCCTGCGGCTTTAGAAAGCAAGATGAAATGGAAGTGGCCAGCCAAGTTAAATGCACCAACTCCAAACAGTCACTCAAGCTCTCCATTACTACACCCTCATTACCTGTATTGACAGACCCAAGAGCTTGGAAAGGAGGTGAGTAGGAATGGAGGCGGAGAGCCGTCATATACGAGGAGCTGGAAATTTGAAACCGCACATCGTTTCTGATGTGGGAGCACAAAGGCACATATGAGACGATTGCTCTCCATGGACAATCCAAGACGAGTCACGCACGCAGAGAGGGCGCCAATGAGGTCGAGCCCAAATTACGGCACAGGTATAGTAGAGGTCAGTATTGGACGGGCAAGAGGGTTCAATATAGCTTGAAATGATTGCGGCCATTCATGAGCGGTAAGCAGGGTTAGATGTGGTGAGCTTTCGGAGGTGTCACCAACAAGCATGGGATCCTGAAGTATGATTGGTTTCTCATCAACAGTCGTGGGCGCTTACGGAATAAGGGCCTTCGGTATGACCATGTCTGATAGTAATGAGAAGCTAAGGCAGGGACCAAAGATGGAGCTGGCAAAGTAGGTAGGTAGTCGCAAGGCTGGACGAATCTGTCTTTCCATAACGATGCATTCATGATTTGGTGAGACGCTCAATGTTTGGAAAGTTGGGGTTCATGGATATGGTGGACGACTGGTGGTTCATATTGACATTTGACACACCCTCAGAGGTCAATGATCCTCCGATCAACCGAAAGCGGGAACTAGGTAGAGTAGAGTAAGCCCGTTCGGTTCCTTGAGGACGCTAAAGTGCCTACCTTATTCAAGTTCCATTTACCTACCGTACCTACACAAACTTTCGCACAACGCTTATGCTATATTATTGAGCTATAGAAAGTAGATATACGTATTTAAAGTACTTAGTAAGGTTAATACCTCTTTAATTAGCTTTAAAGAATATCTATATCTTTATAACTATATCGAATAAAGCTAGCTAATCTTAATAAAACTATAATAACTATAATTTTAAAAAGTATATATTTATATTAAAGTTATCGATAAATATTATATTAAAAATAATAGATAAAGACTAGAAATTACTAATAGACGAAGTAATTACTACTTTTAAAGCGACGATAATATTTATAAAAAGAATAAATAATAAACTTAAAATTTAGATAGTTTTAAACGAAGTATATAAACTAGCTATTAACTTAAATAATCGAGATAATATTATAAAGAAAAAGATTATATATATTAAGTATTAAGTAGCTAGTCTAAAAAGTAATATATTAATAATTAACTACGTTAGCGTACTAGACCGATCTCTAATATTCTTCTCTATTATCGAAGAAATCTTTATTATATTATTAGTAATATCGAAATAAGATTAAGTATTATATAATAAGCTAAATGAGATTATTATAAAGTTATAAGATAAAATAATAAATAAGATATTAAAGAAAAAGATATCGAGCGAGATAATTATAATAATTAATAGATATATAAAGAGTATAAATATTATAAGAAAATTTATTAGAATAATTAGAAGGCTAGCGAGTAGCGATATATATATTATAATTATAAATAAAAAGAAGATAAATAAATTAAGAAAAAGTAAGAATTAAACTCTAAAGATAAGTAGTAGCGCGAGAGTAATTACTAAAATATATAGTCTTTTACTCTATAAAGTAAGAATTAATATATTCGATATTAAAGATATAGCTATAGTAATTAAAAGGATTTAAAATAAGAATATTAATACGCTAAGTCTTAACGTAATATAGCTAAACTAATTTAACGCGAATAAAGAAGATTATAATAAGAGTTTATTAATTATTAAATTAATATCTCTAGAGAAAGAAAATAGAGTACTAAAAGAAGGTCTAATTATCGATTCGAAACTATATAGCTATTACGTTTATAATAAATAGTATAAATCGAAGTAATACTTTATATACTAAAAATATAATTATCTATTAATTATATACTCTAAAAAGAATTACTTAGTATACGAGAAATACTTAAAGAAGTATTATTATAAAGAATATATAGCCGATACTCGTAAATACCCAGTTTACGAGGGATTATATAAGGCTTAAAATAAGATATATTTAGTAAAGAAGAGGGAGATAGCGAGAATAAGAATGGCGAGATAATAGATTTCTTTATAATTTATAATAACGAAGGAGGTATCGGCTAGCTATTAAATAAGTAATTAATTAAATAACTACTTTTAGAATACGTTTAATCGAGGGCGAAATAAGAAATTTTTTTTAAAGCTAATATTTATATACGATAAGCTAGTAGATAAAGATAGAATAGTTAGTAGAGAAGAACTTAGAGTATCGAATCTCGAAAGAACTACTATATTAAATCTCCAGTTAAATAAAAGAAGATATATTTTTATATTATTAATAAGGGTTTTATTTAGAAATAGATCTATAAGAGCCGTAAGAGTTTAAAGAGCCTAAATCGAATACAGTTTAGAGCTATATTAGATTCGGAAGAACTATTTCTCTAATATAACTATACGACAGTACTAGGCGTATAGTAAAGATGTTAATAATAAAAGTTTAATCTCCCTTACTAACGTGTTATCTATAAGATATTTTTATTAAATTCTCTAGAATTTAATCTATCTTATATAGTAATAATTAAAATATCGTTACTAAGTTATATATATCTAAACTTTATTATAATTCTAAATTCTTTAACTCTTAGCTATCTACGTTAGTAAGAAAAGTATATTTAACTTTTAATAATATTACTATTATAATCCTCGCTATTATCTATAAAGTATTATATTCGCTTTAAAATAGGTTA